GTCTCACTGCAAGGTTGGGAGGCATCGCTCCAGGGACGCTTGGACCCGGCCACGGTGCAGAACGAGGTGGACTCACTCAGGCGAGGTGATCGCACCAAACGCAAAGCATGTTGGTCCTTGGGGAAGGCTTCAGAGGTTGCTTCTCTTTTCGCGAATCGCAGGGACTTTCTCAAAGTCGAGAGGTTCCTTCAAGTTGAACCCAAAAAGTGATCCGGTCAAAAGCAGCCCCATCACCTCAACAATTTGTTGGGGCCCAATGGTTTAGTGTCGTTTTGTTCAGCTCCTTTCCCTTTTAACAGGAACATTCAAAACGGGGACTCGTTTTAGTTGCCAGTGGGCAAATAAGATGCAGTGGTCATGCGTTGACCGTGTTGGCAAGTAGTACTTAGCCGTTTTGGACAGGGCAGGCTTCTTCAGCCACAGGAATTCTTCGACGTTTGTTTGGGAAGTGCCGCCGCAGCCCGCAGGTCCTGCCTCCAAGCAGACGCCTCCTGTGCGGGACCGGGGGTGGCCAGCGCCATTTTGGGCCGGAGCGTGGCGCAGCTCCGGCGCGGAGCCTCCTGGGAACTGCGGCAGCTGCTGCTGGACGGGGACCTCTTGGCGCATCTCCACGCGCTCAAAGGCGCCAAAGTTCTGGGTTCTGGGGTTTGTGGCGTTTTCCGTGGCGGTGGGAACATTTTCTTTGTTCTGGGGTCTCCTCATCTACCTTTGGTTTTTGACGGGCCGTTTTGCAATCAGGCAACACACGCATGTTCCTGTTTCTTAGGGAAGGGAGTCAGTGTTCTGCCTATGTTTTGTCGAGCTCACTGGTTCAGGCGGTAAACGAGCTCACCAGCAAGTCCTGTTCTGGGGATCCCGTATTTCAGGCTTGGAATTATTGAACGGTTGCAGAAAGGTTGGATTCGCCGATGTGATTGGCTCCCTTCTGCGGGGATGGGAGGCCGGCACCCGGCACACACGAGCGGAAAGGGGTCAGAAGGTAATTGGCAAGGTGGCAGCCATCGGCTCATTTCAATGTCGGGAATCCTAGCCTCATTCCGAAACCCTCAGTGATCCCCGAATATTTGCCAGCAAGTTGAAGCTGCCTACCCTCTGTAGAACAAGAACGAATGGAAGGTGACAGGAGGGGTTGGGTGATTGGTAGCTTGCCCATTGCATTATCCTGCTCCTTCTACTCTTCCTGCTCCTTCTGCTCCTCCTGCTTCTGCTTCCCCACGTCCTTTGTTTGACGCATTACACCAGCTTCTCCGTGGCCATGTTGCTTGTTGAACTGTGCAAGGCGCATTTGTGCAACAGCTTTCCCAGCTCAAACATACCATTGCTCTCCGCATAGAAGCAATGGAATTGACGTGACCTTGCAGTGACCCCGTCGTATCGACTTCCTTACATTAGCACGTACCATGTTATCAACATCTGATGTGACTATAGTTTGAAACTGTATTTGCTCGAGGTTTCTACTTGCTGGGCTACGGCGCGTTTTACCAGACCTTCCTGGACTTGGCCAGGAGAGGGGGGGGGTCGGGCAGCGGTGGCCTCTTCAATGTGGGCGGGTGGGTGGACGAGCAGGTGGGAGAATGGATGTTTGGGTGGATCGGCGGCGGGCGGATGATTAAGTGCGCAGCCAGAAAGCGAAACCAGCCCAGACTGCTCTGGCGCGCGCGATGAACCGGGCCTCATTGCGCAGTGGAGCTGGGTGGTAGTTCAAGTCATTGCGCAACTTCGGTGATGAAGCTAAATGCCAAATGCAATCAAGTTGCTGGTGAACACCTTGGATAACACGTTCTCACTGCAGCTTTCCCATAGGTATGATTGTGTTGGTTGACGTATGCGAGTGGTCCCATTCTTTGCCTTGCAACCGACATATATTTTGGCATGCGCTTGACTTGTCAGACAAATCAGCAAGAAGCCCATTGTCCTACACAGACCTCTTTCTGACCGTACTGGTAGAACCAAAAGCCGCCTTGTTTTAGGCAATGCTCATTTAGTTTTAGCTGGTTGTCTTTCGGCCTACCCGGCTGCACATCTCAGTGGCCGGAATCCGTCCAGGATTCTGATTCTGGTGGCTAAAAACTGGCACCTCAGTAGGATATGTTTATGTTGCCCGAGACTATCGCTTTGTAGATCTGTCGTTGATTGCTTCATTAGCGGGCCGGGCTATGCCAGGCTGGGAGCCAGAGGGGGCAGGCAATGATTTGATGGCGATACACATTTGCAGCCTGGAGAGTGCCTAAGGCCACGATGTTGGGGAGAAGAAATGTGTTGCGTCAGGACTCGCAACAGACTTTCCCGTGTTTTGTGTTGAATGTTTGTTTTCGTGGGGGCAATGCACATTTGTATTTGCACACTTGTGTGTAGCGTATTCCTGGGAGTTTATCACATATCAAAGTTCCTTGGAGCCTCCCAGGTTTAGCTTCCTGGATAATTAGGGATGTCCCTCTTTAGCAATGCTGCAAGAGTTTAAGCAACTAACAGGCATCCCTATGCGTTGAAGCCGGCCTTATCGTATATGAGCCATATATGAATATCTTCGATTTGTATGGTTGTTAGGGTCTCGCCGAATATAGCTAGTATAAACCTTAAATCTACGGAAGTCATTTCCTTTACCCCCTTTTAAGAGGTTTCCTAGGTGCTATCATGGACCGTGTGCGCGGCGACCGTCTAACTACAGAAGCCACGCCACCCGCTTTCAAGAGGTGTCGCAGTTGTTTTCATGAAGCTTGTGAATGTGGCTGCTTTGTTTGCGCGATGTCAGCTTTTCTCCAGGCCGCTGCTGCGCAGGCCGCCCGCCTGGAACGCGGAGCAGGATTGGGCAGAGGGAAGGGAAGCGGCACATTGGAAGTAGCGGTTTAGCAACCCAGGCCCCATCCAAGGCTGGTTGTGTGCGATTGTGTTTATGTTTCCAAGTACTGTTTGTTGCTGACATGGAAAGTGAATTGAATCATCGCAGGTCCGTTTGAGTTTTGTTGTGCGACTGCTTTTGTTGGTTGCGCAGTCCCTTTCTTGCACCAAGTTTCGGCCGAGCGGAGCGTTCATGACTTGCGGCGAGTTGCGTTGGCGCCACAGGGCCCGCTTCGTTTGGGGCCGTGTTGGTGACTTAAAGCAGGAAACATAGCACCCGTTTGGTGCAGAATGCGTTCTTTTCCCCCGTTGGTTTCGCCAAGAAATGTTGATCAATGACTGGTAAAGCTTTTTTTGGTTGGTGGGCACCTTGCGCAGGGTTGTCAGCCGCATCTCTCAGGGTCTGTCACCTTTGGACCCGGGAAGGGAATTATTTTGGCAATATCTCCCATTTCAATACGCATTTCATTTGACCTGCCGAGATACCTGCGAGAAGAAGTCTGAATGCACTTTGGGAAGCACCATTTGAGGTGAAAAGGAACGTCTGGACTGAGCCCAGGAGCTGCGCATGGGCGCCTGGGCCACCGCCGCGGCGGAGGAGGGCCTTGAGCCGGAAGCGCCCAGCGGCTCGATCCGCAGAAGCCTCTCGTTTTGAGAGGCCGTATAGTCGTATTGCGAATAGCAATCAGTTGACACATGGGAAATCCCCCAAGTGGATGTTCCAACTATTTCCGGGAAAACTCTCAGATCTGTTCCGACTGCTGTTGGTTGAGTGTGCGATTTGATGGTTATTCACTACACTTAGGTGGTGTGGGCATCTTACATGGTCTAAGAGAAGGCACTTAGAGAAAAGGTTCCGTTTAGAGAAAAAGGTCTTCCAACACCCCCCCCCCAGGCTGCATATTAGTGGATGGGAGGTGGTTGGTAGCTCCGCTTACTTGGGCTGTCATTGTTTCATGCGGGGCTTTAAGCAGTGGCTATATACTATCTACTTTGCTAACTTCCGGACAATCTAGGTTGCGCTGATGCCCTTTAGTGCCAACAAGTACGCGAGCACGGGCACAAAGAAACAACTGAACAAACAAAGCAATAAGCAAATGAAGCAACAATATGTAAGCAACAGTACACAAACGGCGCTTGCTCGACTTATACTTGCACATGTTGGATGTGTAGTGCTTCATGGTGTTGCTATGTTTCATCCGCTTTGACTTCATTGCTCGACGTGTCTGATTGTGTCAAGCCATATCCAGGAGTTGTGTGTTTGGCTGCAATCAAGCATCGTATTGTAATACGAAGGAGCATGACATACATAGATTGAAATCGATTACTCAAGCAAAACCTATATATATATATTCAGACAACGGGCACCTATAGATATACATCTTAGGTCAATATGTCGCAATACTGAAGACCGCACCAGTCAGTTGGTCCCTCTTTGTGTTCCTTCAAACACTTCCGAAGGGTCCAAGCCTATGATTGTTTGATTTGTTGCTGCCTTGTTCTCTTGCTGGGCTTCAGTGCGTGGGTTGGATTTTGACGTTTGCTGCACGTGCGGGCAAGCTTGCTGTCGCGAGTTTGGCGCGGCGTTCGAGTGACTTTGGCATGAACTCATTTCCGCAGTGTAGTGTGCTTCCTTGGAACCAGTGTTACGTGTGTTTGTTTCGTTGCTGCGGCGAAGAATGCTCGAATTGACGGGTGCTTGTGTTAGTTGTGTTGATTCAAAACCAAGAGTGCCACCCCGACCACCCAGAATGCTTCATAAATTCTTCAGCCGATGATATTGCTTGCCTGAGCGTGTTGAAGTCCAGTTGCTTCTGGGTGTTACGAGACAAAATCGACTAATGTTGCATCCCACACATTGCAAGATTGGATTGGCAATCAAAACATGTATCAGATGCCCGCAAAAATCGCAGAAACCATGGAATCTTACCAAGAATACATCTTTCAACGGCTTATCCAGGATGAACGCCGGGGTGAACGCCTGGTTTGCTTTGCTTGAAACCTCCAAGGTGCTCCCTCCACCCCAGCCTCCGCTCGGACACCGCGCCGCGGTGGCGTGCGGGGAAAGGTGCAGCTGCAAATGGTACCGAAGAGTCTGGAGCTGCGCTTTGGCAGGAGCAAAATTGTGGGAAGACGAATGATAGGTAAGTGTGTTTCTGTTATTTGTGTCACATATAGTGTTTTGTTTTTGGAAGGTAGGCTTTTGCGGTGTGACGTTTTCAAAGGGAGACCAAAAGGAAACCAGCTTTGGGGGATCTGCTGTGCTTTTGAGACAAACCATGGGGTACACTTGCTTGTTTATGCAAATTACCGGTGGGCCGCATGAGCATGAGGATGACATCCAGTCGCTTTCTTTTGAAACAGTGCTCAAGTGGTCCCTTTTGGAATTCCAGCTGTTCAGTGGCACCCTCACAATTCCTTCTTTGTTGATGGCTTCGCCAAAAAACTGAATCATCCACAAAACGAAGTAGTTTCCTTTTTGGCCTTTTCGGGTCACTGGGCACAGACCAGTTTCCGGAAATCAGGGCAAGTGGTTGCACGAGGCAATCCTTCGACGTGCGCCGGGTGAAGGCCTTGGGCAGCGCGCGCCTCGATGCCGTAGCGCTGCTGGCGCCCAGCGCCGGCGGCGCCCAACTTTGGCTCAACACCCGCCTCAGGCCAGCGCGAACGACACGAGTCAGCCGTTGTCGGTTGGTGCCGGGGTTTTTCTGAGGAGCCAAGGCTTGAGTGTTGTAACTTACCCGTGGACAAATTCGGGCTGGTTCGAAATGGGAAATGAATTCACGAAGTGCCGGGCTCATTGGTGGGAACCTTTAAACCATTGCGCTGAGGGGTTTCCCAAAGTAGACACACAAACATGGACACGCACACGCGCACACACACACACACACCTCGCGGAATCCTCGCGACAAATCGTCGCCCTGTCAAAAGACGGGCGTGTGATGGGTCAAGTTGTTCTGCCCTTTGCACGGCGTTTGTTGCAAGCAAACCATACTCAGTGCTGGGTGGTCCTAATTTGGTCGCGGAGTGATCAGTGAACCAGCCGTTGCTGCTTGCTGCTTGCACTTCTTCAGCATGACACATCTGTGATTTGAACCTGTTTGAATGCTGTGTGAATCCGCAATCTGTGTCAGCTTGACGATCCCAGGTTGCTGACAGAAGACACTAAGCAAACTTGCAGGGCCCAGGGCAGCGCAACCCAACAAGCAGAGCCCTTTCCCGGGATGGGCCTGCCAAAAGCCCCAGACATGAGCACCTGGCAAGACATTAAGAGCTCTCATGGGCTATTCAAAACAGAGCCGATGCGCTGTCGGAATCTGTTAGTCAGTCAGGCGTTGGTCGTGGTAGTTTTGTCTGGCACCGACTCCGATCTATCCAGTTGTGGGCTTCCTCAACTTGGGCATTCCAGCCCCCCCCCCCAATTGGGTGCCCAAACCCTGTGGGGCAGAATTGTGCTTATATGTGTTTGCATAACAGATGTCAGCCATGCAGCGTCGTTTTTTCCTGCAAACATATATATATATATATATATATGTGGGTATTTTGGGAACCTGGGGCTGTTCCCTACCTGAGCTCGCACAAAAGCAATGCTAGACGTCGGGTTGTCCGCAACCAATAAAAGCTACAGTCACAGCAAGGGGCAATTGGAAGCCTTACTCGAACACTTGCAGGTGCTTAGGCATCTTAATTACTCATGCAAACTATGTGTGTGGTTTCCTGGTTGGACTCAATCAGTTTTGTCAAACATATAAAGTTGATTCGTTCTGGATGCACACAAGCTTGGTAACTTGTGATGTGTGCACGTTGGAGCAATTAATGCATACGTTCGAACATGTATAGATCAGACTCTTGCTTTGTAAACACCGGACACTTGCTGACACTGGCACTTGATTGTTCTAGTTTGCTTTAGATAGTTCCATATTTGTTGTGCACATATTTCTACATACAGTTTTCAGCTGGTTGTAGAATCGTGTAGAATGTGAAGGTCATGTGTTGGCAGGAACATCATTGCCTGACACCTTCCGCGCGTTGCGCTCAGGATGTCCGGCAGCTTTCAGCATGCCTTCGGCTTCCAAGTCCGCGAGCGCGGCGAGGAGTTGGGCGGAGAGTTCGGGGCGCGCTTCGCGCTGTGCTTCCAGTCCCGGTGGTCCCCCAACGAGATCCAGAAAGGCGCGAGATCGCGACAGTCTGGAACATGGAACTGGCTTTTGGCACTTTCGTGAGCCAAGGAAGTCCCCTTCGACATGATGAAGTAGCCATGGGAATGACGAATGACCCATATTGGCATCAAAGAAATTATGACTTTCCAGAAGCATGATCGCGTAACTGCAGAGGAGTGGAGTTCCTCAATGTCCTTGTGTTGGCCCTGCGCAAGTGGCACTTTCTCTGCAACCTAGCATTCAATTGAAGCTTGTGGGGTTGTCTATGGAACCCCGTCGTGGGCTGGCGCATCAATGAGCGACTACATTATCTTGCAGCAATTTGTCGATATCAGTCCTCGGAGCAGAGACTATGGTGTTTGTTATTTCAATCACTGGAATGCTGAATTCGGTTTAGATTTGATCCGTGGCACTGCATAAGACTAACCAACACCACGAACTGTTTGAACCCATGTACAAATACTGAGGAAGCAGGTTTGTCCCCTTTGGGTTTTCGCTATGTGCGATTTTGCGCTGCCGGCAAACTTGGGCCATGAAGCCTGTACCTGTTGCTGAAGGTTTGTTTATTGCAACTGCAAGTACAAGTCTCAGGGTCAGTTGTGTTAGAGCTGTGCTGGCTGGTGTGATTTGTCCTTTGGTTTGGTCGTGGCCTTTGGCCGTGTTTTCATTTCTTGATGTGGCCCATGTGGCCTTCCTCGGCTTGAATGGTGTCCTGTGCAGTCGGATGGGATCGTTTGGATTCCAACTTGTGCCCCCACAACACGGTGGGGCCAAATGGGAAGACCTCCCGGGCCCTGGAGCCCTGTAAAGGGAAACCTAAATGAGCAAGCATCAAACAACAGCAGTTTAAGCATGTTTGCGCACCCAGTGTTGACCCGTCATTGATCAACCCGGCAAATAGGGGGCGGTTCGCCCCTCAAGTTATGTTGTATGGAAATCCATCGGGAATCTGCTTCATCAATTGGGTTGTCCTGTGGTGCCTTTTGTTGTTAGTTCCGTTTTTGGAGGGGGCTCCTTGAAGCTCATTTCCTAAAAGCGGGTTCCCGTTTGGTCCTCTATCCAACGGCCGGTTCCGGAATCGCTTGAGCGCAGGTCGCCATGGCCCCGATTTACGCTGGACGAACCTGGGGGACGCGCTGGCGCTGGAGGCAGGGTCTCAACGCCCGAAGGGGCGGAGTCCGTGAAGCCTTATAACAAATGGGCCTGGGCTTCATGTTTTGAGGTAAAGTTTCTTGGGTGAGCAACAAGCAACTGTAGAGGAAAACATCGTGTGTCCCTAAACTTTGGCAGGGAGAGAGACCCGCTGGTGCAAGTCAGGGCAAGTTATCACGAGTTCATCGGATAAAAAGTCCCCTGCGGTGCCATGTAAACCGTCACTTGATTTATGAACTGTCCCAACATCGCACCTAATTGGAAGTTGTGTTTGTTTGTTTTGCACCAATACGGGTGTACTACACTTCCCCTTCAGAGGACTTGAGTCGAGAATATGATGTTAATGCATCAACAGTCTGGACACGTTTGACCGACCCACTCCGGAAAGAGTAACTTGAAATCGAACCCTTTCCAAGTGGTGGCTTTCCTTTTGGCATTCTTGCAACGCCATCTACTTCTGAGTGAAGTCGACATTCCAGGTGGTTGATCTCCTGAGGGTGTGCTGGTGAACCCTATGCAACATGGGGATCCAGGCAAAAGGCTCCCGCTAAGCGTGATTGAATCCCCTCAAAACGAGATGGTCCCTCTTTTCCCCTCAACGGTGGTTCACAGAATGAACCCTTCCAGTTCTTTAGCGAGGGTGGATTCACGGGGGTCTCCTTAGAGGCTCCCTTCAAACTTAGATGTCAAACTCCACTCGAGCTTGTGGTTTCAATTGGTTTTCGCAGCCACGATCGACTGCCTAGCGCCTAGTGCAACGCAACGGAAATCATTGTCTATGTCTATTTCCAGATGCCTTGTCGCATTGGAAGATCTCTCTCCCCAAGCGCGTTCCAATAGATCTACGAGGTCCAGCTTGTGCCAAAGGACAATCATTGATGTGTGTAGCTTCCTAGAACCCATTTGTTAGGACCCATTTAGTGTCACCCAAAACAACATGTTCGGCATGTCCAGGTGACCTACTGCGTACTGCCACACGCGACCAGATCGCCAGCACGGGAACCCTTGGCGGAGGCCGACATGGGCTGGGGCTCAGGTCAAAAGAAACCGCGTGGTTGCCGAGGAATTTGCTACAGTTGGGTACTTCTGGCAACAGATATGGGCAACAAAAGCGAACAACCGGATCATGAGTAAGCAAATTCGTGCCTGTTTTTTGCAAGGCTTTGTGCGTGCCAGAGAACATGTAGATCGGCCCAGTTTTCCTATCGCTGCAATCGCAGCAAGGAGCTGAAATGGCCGGCATCTCTCACGACCCTTGCAACTTCAAAGCAGAATCGTGCGTAGGTTGTTGCTCACCTGGCTGGGTTTGGGGACAAGCGTGGAAGGTAGTCCAGCTTGTCAAACGTTGAGCACGTGAGCAAATTAGAGTCCTCCTTGCGCCAGTTGGCTACAGTCTGGCACATTGTGACCTCTTCATGCTTACATGCCTCACCGATGCATGTTCCCTCGTTGATCCCTTGCGAGTGGCTGAACGACAAGGGCATAACGCATCCAGAGGCGTCGGACAAAACTCCTCCACTTTTGGCAGCGGATTGAACCAGCGCATCCTGGATGTGAATGGATTTGCGCCAACCACTCAGCATTTCGATTCTTCAACAAGGTAGTTGCACACTATCTCCCACCATTTGTACCATGTGTCTATGGTTTGAATGGCCCAACAAGCACAAGCTGCCCAAGCATGCATTGGACTCCAAATTCGAAGACCGCCACGACGCTCTCGCTGCTCTCGCCACTGGCAAGTGGCGCAGGTCACCCTTCGCGTGCTGCAGTGCCATGGAGCCGAGGGCGAGAAAGCGCAGGAGCTGGCTGCAGCCACGCTCAGCGTGTGCTTTGGCTGGTGTGTTGGGGCTGGGAAATTGCAAGTTGGAGGGATGGGATGGCTGAGGGGGGGTAGGACTGGCTCGGTTGGGGGTCTGAAACGGTTGTGACGGCCTGTGGCGAGATGCGAAAGCTTAGCCTCCTCCAATTGGTTTGTTGCTTAGCTCATCCAACCCAAACGGTTCACGCCCACCCCAAAAGGGCAGCCAAGGAGGTGTTCCCGCCAACCCAGCCCCTGAAACCTCAGTTGAGCCACAATCAAAACCTGGGTAGATGGAGGTTAGCAAGGGAGACTCCCAGCCATAAATAGCTGCGGCCGCCTTCTTAATTCTTTACATGGTTCTGGGTAGAGCATTTTAATGCCAGAAGAGTTATCAGCCCTGTGTTGCCAGAAAAACACCGTAAAACACAGTGTTTTGTAGCATGTTCATGTTAAAATCACATCCCCACCAACACCCGGTCTCTTTAATACCTGGTTTTGATTGTGACTCAGTTTCCCCCAGCCCCAGCCCCAACCCTACAACCCTAAGTACTACAACCCCCACCCCCAACCAACCCCGCCACCCCAACTCGCTAAACCCCCAGCCATGGACTCATCTGAGGCCGGAGCTTCGGCAGATCAACATGGTGCGGCTCTGGTACGACGCGGAGAAGTGCCGGGTGCAGGTCTTCTTTGGAGCCGCTCAGCTTGTTAGCGGGCGAGCTGCGGTTAGGGGTTTATTGGTGTCTGTTTAGGTCTGTTTTGGTGACAATTGACGGAATCAATTGACTCTACTGGCTTCTGTTTGGTTGAACAACTGATGGATGCCGTTGGTTTCAGTTTGGATGGAAATAGAAGCATTTCTCTGGTTTCCGTTTGTTTCTAGGCGTCTATCACGCTTGCGACACCAGCCGCCGGTGCTCTCGGCAAAGGAGAAAACTAACACCAAGGCCACGAACAGCACAAAAAGAACACTGATGTCGAGGAATACATCGGAGCAACCGTCTAAACCCATGAAGATTCCGTCAGGCATGTTTTGGAAGGGGGGAATAAACATGTCAGACGTCGGAAACAAAGGAGCACCTGCCCATCCGAGACACCCACAGCCACGCGGAGCTTGAGCAGCTGAGCGCAAAGGACACCACCACCCAAAGCCAACGCCCGGGCAATGGTGAGCCACCCCCAGATACCCCAAAGTACTGGTGGACTTACGCCCGGTTGTTTATGCCCCAGAACCGAAACCCCTGGCTGCACGTCCACCTGGGTGGTTCACGAATGGAACCCTGCAGAGGCTTCCATCCCAAACGGCCTCCGTCGCTTCCAATTTCAGGTTGACGCCGTGGCGCCCTGCTGCGCCTGCGACGTGGACCTGTCAGAGTCGCTGGATGTGGGCTATGCCGGGCGCCTTGGCAGCACGATGCAGTAGGGTCTGCAGAGTTGACACAGAGGTCCCACAAGGGCCGGCCCCATAGGTAGCATGCCTTTCGCACTCGGATAAGTTGCGTTCTCGCAAGTTCTCATTGACAGCCCAAACATTTATTTGAGCATTGGGTATGGCACGTGCTGACGCCAGCGTGTTTTGCTCAGATGGGCGCTGGAAGCTAGAAGCATTGGGAGCTAAATTGAATCCAGGATTATGGTTTGCTCTTTGCCAAGGCACAAGGCTTTGACAAGTATAGTATTGTGTATTGTTGTGTTTTTAGACCCCTCTGACCCAGAGCAGATCGGTTGCATGTGCGCTGGGTCCTAGGCAACAACTTGTTTTCAGGTGAGTCACAATCAAAACCCGGGTAGATGAAGGTTAGTAAGGGCCAATCCCAGCCATAAATAGCTGCGGCCGCCTTCTTAGTTCTTTACATGGTTCTGGGTCGAGCATTTTTGTACCAGGTTTTGATTGTGACTCAGGTGGGTTTTGGCACCGTCGCCTTCAAAACACAAGGTGCCGCCGTTGGTTGGGGAATCCTTCTATGAGGGTGAAACCTGCTACAGGTGATGCAAGTCCACCTGTACCTCTTGCATTCATGACGTTGAAAAGAAGGTGTGGGCAGGTTACTCCCGACTGCCAGCCTTCTGCTTTGCCCTGTTTACATTTCTTTTCCATCTGAGCCAATGCTTGTCGATTGAAGATCCTTTGGTCCATATTGTTGTGGTTCAGCCCTCAAAACATAGTGTCCCTGAAAGCGATCCACACAAAACGAGACCCGCTAGCCGCTACCCCACCCCGCGCCACAGAACCCCCCTCACCCACCCACCCCCCTTCACCGAAAGTCCCTCCTCTCTACCCCCCTTCACTTCCCAGCCCAAGTTGGTGGCAAAAAGCCAGAAAAAGCCTCCAGACGAATGCTCCAGCCGGAGGTTCTGCCTCATGGCTCTGGGCTCCGAGCCCAGCTCCCGGGACCGGCCCGTGCAGATCTTCTCTTGGCGCCACCAGATGCGCGACAGGCCGAGCCTTCGAGAGTCACGGCTCGGGCGCATTGGATCCATAGGCTTGTTTCGAATTGGTTAAGCGGTTCGCGCACGAACATGAACATGGCTTTGAGGGTAGCTCCTCAAACAAAATGCACCAAACAGAGCCTCTTCATGACTGTTGTAGGTGACAAGGGATGTCCCCCTTAGTCGTTGCTCTACATGTTGAACTGTGGCTTGCCCTGGTTACCGACCATATAGTGCCAAAATCATTGTGACAGATCGATTCCACTTGGATTGAAACAGGGGCAGCCAGCACTGGCCTTCTATGCTCGGCACATTCGGATTGGTGATCAAAAGCCAGCAGACAGCCACACTCACAGAGCTGTTGAGCAGGTGTCTGATTTCTTGGGCCCCTACCTGGACTATCTCAAAGGGATGCGACTCCAAAAGACTCTACTTCAGGCGATCAGTTGCGCATGGGTACCTTCTTCGGTCGCTGGTCATTCAGTATCGCGCCTTAGGGTGGTCTTTCTTGCTTACCTTGTTGGACAGAATGGGGAGGCCCCTGAAAGCGTAGACATCCTTTTGGACGGTTGGAGCCAAAACGGGGACCCTGCTTTGGACACCCAGCCAAGGCAAATGGAGGTCAAAACAGCAGGTTTGGGGTTGGCAATCCACGCTGGTCCCAGAACCCAAACGGCTCCCCGCGAAAACGGCTTCCAGCGGCTTCAGCGGCTTCGGACGAGCGAGCCCGCGCAGGGCGGAGGTGGAAGACTCGGGGGCCTGGTTCTCCAGCCTCACGCTCAGCTACCAGGCGGCCCGCGCTTGTGGAATGAAGCACTGAATAACACTGAGCAATCCATAAGTTGATATCAATGACAAGGGATGGCCAAGCTTTAGAGAAAACACATGAAAACACGATATGAATTAGGATGTGTTCAATAAGCCGCTGTAGAAGCGGCCAAGTCCTTGCCACATGGACTGTGTTCATTGTTGAAAAGAGATCAAAAGGGATTTGTGCCTCGAGCCGTGTTCAATTGCGGGAGGGTCATTGACGACCGCTCCCCCAGAAGGAAAACGGAGCATGTCGTTGTGCCATTACCATTATAACAAGCAACCAGGAATTTGACTTTAGATTTTACATTGATGGTTTTCCGAAAACCTACCATAGGCGGAACTGGATGCACTCGATGTGTTGGCTGCTTGATTGCTCGCAGGTTCCGTGGCCCTTGCCACTGATCCTCACCTCACGCTGCCTGGAGAGGCCGGAGATCCATTTTGGGGATGTGGCACAGGATTGCTAAGTCCCAATCTGCTTCCCTGTTTTTGTGGGTACCACACTGAAAACTGATCAACCCCAAGAAATGGGGTTTCCTTGTTCTGACAGAGTGCAGACGCTTCCCCCCCACAAGGCACCCAGAGGCCTTCCCCCCTGTCCTATTGGAAAACAGGGGCTTGATCATCTTAGGACCTTCCGACGAGTTGGGTTGGTAGTTCGGGCCCCCAAAAACGATGCAGGCGCTGCGAGGCCAGGCCTCTCGCAAAACATACCAGCATGACGATGATATATATATATATATGTTTAGAGAGGCCAGGCCTTACTGCGGACCTATACATAATATTAAAACAGCCAACACTGCACGAGACTCATTACAAGACGTGATATTCGATTCTTTATCGCGGATCCTTTGTGGAAAGTTCCGAAGAACGTTCGCATGAGCCAGTCACCATCATCCCTGCTGTATACAGACATGACTGTGTCTTTTTGTAGAGTACCCTTTTGTGAATTGGGGGGGGGAAACCAATGATTGCGGGGTCCAAATCCCAGTTTTGACACCACCTGCCGCTGGTCAGCACAAGGCGCGCTTGTCAAACGATTGCAAATTCACTCGTCAAGAAAGATAAGAGAGAATCCCAGTATACTTCGATATGTAAACCTCCGGCCATCCCGGCAGCCCATGGGGCACCGAAGCCTCCCATGCCCTTGTCGCCATACTTGGCGCTGTTTTGTTGTTGGAATCGCTCAAGCTGGGGATGTTGCCTTCCTCCGGTGAATACAGGACGCCCTCAAGAAGTGTCTTCAAGCTTTCCCGGTGGGGACCCCGTTTTCATCAAGACTGGTGTGGGCAACACTTGTCTTGCCACCGTTTCTATGACGACGCAACCCAGACGACTTAGATAGTTAAGCTACAGGCTACAGTGGCTTGATCAGGGACATGGGTCAAAGCTCGGGGCTCCTCTGGATATGTTCAACAGGGAGAAAAGAGAACGCAAGCACTTGGAGGTGTGCTGAATTTGCCAATTCTGACGCAGTACCCCTGCTCAGTGTGGGTGGCATTCCAAAAGCAAGCGCACGGATTCAAGCACGCATCAACCCTGGCAAGAGCCCTCAAGAACTAATAACTTCTGAATCATGGGCCAGCAGGATCATGTATGAAGTCCCGTAAAGCATCCTGTCGTGTCTGTGTTTCTTTCAAAAATGGACATCGGGAACTCCCTAGCTTTCCCGCCAAAACTCACCAAATGTCCAAGTGGTTGGTTTCGTTGAGGTTTCCCTGTAAACCATCCAACATGTCCCCTATGTGAGACAGATGGCTATGAATTTGAATATAGAACTAACTCCAAAGTGGTTGGTGGACATGAACCCCCCAAATGATGTGCACCAAGGGGTCTACTAAACAAAGTACAAACGCTATTTGATTTCCCAGCCGACGTGAAGCTTCACTGCAACTGTCGTGTCAGCTAGGTACAATCGACTCTTCCAGCAGCTCCTCCAACTGCGGCTGGCGCATTTGGAGTTGCAGCGAGTGGAGGTGAAGCATCGGCTCCACTGGTCCTTCCGCCCGGGGCCCTTGTTGAGTGGGTCTCCAGGGGTAGGGGGTGGCAAGAGAGCACAAACCCGAGTCGGGGGCAGAGCCATAACAAGGGGAGCCATGGAAGGATTGTCACTGAGGCACAGTCATGCCTTTGCTCTGGCTTATGGCAGGGGTGGGATTCTGAACAGGACCCGGGTAGCATTTGGAAAGAGGGGAGGAAGGAAGAAGGTCCCTCAGGGTCAAATGAGCCCAGTTTGCTGCAAGAGCAAAGCAGCCTTTTGATTTCAGAAGGCCATGGATTCCTCTTTGGCACATCAAGAGTCAGTGCTGCGGTGTGGGAGCAGCTCTCTAGTTGGTGCGGGTTGCCCTCGTGACCCGTTCAAGCCTCCGGGCCTAGCTAGAGCATTGTCCACTTTCAATTGAAGGCCTGGCTTGATGCAAAGAGTCGGATTGTCGGGCCGCTAAGCGGCAACCTCAGAGCTGGTCCAACGAGCAAGAGCTAGCGCTAGGCCCTTTCTTCGAAGAAATGCCACTTGTTTCCCGATCCTCAGGATCGCAGCTCATGTTCTTCGTTTCTCAGCTGCTGCAATTCTTTCAGCAGGCCTCGGCGTTGGTGATGGCGGTTTCCAAGATGAAGGGCAGTCGGCCCCAATTGTCTGGAAACGGGGTGGAGAGATGCAGCATCTTTGAGTTGACACTGCCAAGAGATCCACATGGCTACAAAACTTCCATAGGGAAGGGCCTTAAACAAGGCCGGTGCAAATAACAAGCCCCATGTAAATGAGTTCCACCGACAAAAAGCTTATACCCAATTGCCACTGCAATCTACTGTTTAAAGTGAACGACTTTGAGATGTTTTCGTTGAATCTTAGGCGGGTCGACGTCAGCTTTTTCAACCTGTGGAGAACCTTTGGAGAAACACTCAAAGCGGCTCGAATACAAGATGAGCGTATGCAGGATACTGTAGGGAGAGGCGATCGTCCTTTGTGATACCTTGTAGTAGAGTGTTGGACCCGGCTGTTGAGAAGCACCCTTTGCCTTTCGCAAAGAAATTGTCAACGCCACAAAGAATCCCTTCCCACCAAGTCACTGAGAAATTGCCGACCCCCGAAAAGGAATCCCATTGTCTACTACTGGGCAGCTGGGTGGGGTTGTACCTTTTCGCTGGGTGTGGGTTCTACCCTTTCGTAGCATGTCCCCGCCAGGTTGAAGCTGTATGGCATACCTTAGGGTCTCATAGACTGAGCTTTTCCATGATACACCTTTCCCATTTGGGATTTCTTGCGTATTCCCGGTGTCGAACATCATGCTTTGAGGTTCAAAGGCGGCTGCTGTTTGAACTGCTTGGAAGAATCGTGTTGCCGTGGAAACGGTGAAATGAAGGCTCAACCCTTCCAAACGGCAGCACTTCATATTGGTTTTTAAACTCTCAACCCCATTTTCCGAAGCAGTTTCTCGTTGTTTGTGGCACAAATCTCCCACCATCGTTTGGCTAGCAGAACAACCTAGAGAGCCAGCCTGTTGAGCTCCTTCCGTGACACCGTTTTAAACCTTATAAGTAGTCGTGCCCAACATAAATGTATCCTAATAGCACGAAAGCCGGGAGCCAACTTCTTCCCACAACACCGGTCGGATTACGATTGGTAAAACCACGATCATGTGGGACCAGATGCTGGTATACGTAATTATTCAGCCCCTCATACTGCACCGTCTCAGGACCCCGTTCAACGATCACTTACACCAAGCCAGTCGAAGGCAGTCATGTTCACATCTGACACCCCAGCGGTCCAACCACAAGCAGCGGGTCTGTCCATTTGTCCATCGCAGGATGTAGTGGAAGCCGCGCAGAAGAAGCTCCTGGACGCCGTGGAGGCCTCCCAAAGCTTCGAGGAGATCGCGCAGGCCCACGAGGCGAGGACTCTTCGGCAAATTGGTTTCACTGGTTTCCTTTCGGCTTGCCATTAAATCCACCCAAAATGGATGTTGAGCCACCCGAAAATGGCCGTGCTTTTTTGAGGATGCCCTTTTCAGGCTGCTTGAAAGCCAACAGTTTTTGGGGGGCCGCCTATTTTGACACTCAAACACCCGGTGAGCGGGTGGTGGTCGGTGTTTCTGCAAGTGGCAATGAGATATCGAGTTATCGAGATGCTAAAAGGGAGAATACTCTCCCAAATGGTTGGTGTACGTGAATCCCAATGTAGGTCATGTAAACCAAATGGGTCCCAGTTAAGACACCCAGAGGGGTCCCAGCGGGTCCCAGGATGGTTTGTGAGGAGTGAAAATGGGTTAGACTAACAGGTAGCAAGGACCCCCAGGGATAGGAGATCCTCTGGATGGATCTAGATGGTGCTTCAAGAGCAAACCTCTGGAGCCGTTTCCAGGGGTTTAGGGTCCAGGTTTCGCATGCTAAAGCAAGAGGACCACATGGCTCCATTCCTGGATGCCTTCCGACCATTGAAGGTGCCCCTGTTGCTTGACCTCGGCTCGCAGCAAATAGCCGACACTTGACAAGTACTCGTGGATGTAGAACGGACTCCATGTGTGGAGCACATTGCGTGCTAGGCGTCTTGGCTAGTGTGTAAAGGGACGCCCTACAGGTGTTGTTGATTTGAGTTTGACATATTGCCGCTTGTGACTGAACCAAAGTGCTGCGACAGCATGGTGTCAATACTGGAGTCAATACACACTTGTGCGAGGTCTGCAAGAAACATTTAAGCGCACCATGTGAAGCGAGCTGATTGCATTCTGCCTGGAGGATTTCCTGTCCACGCTCACTGCGCACTTCTTCCTGAAAACCCCTGAGTTGCACAAGGAGAACCGGTCGATATTTTGACACATGCACCCACTTGCACAGGCAGATGAGCCACTGGCAATACCCACTGGTGTTCATATGCATTCTTGTCGGAAGCCAGCTTTATCAAAATTCCCCTGTGGTTGTCATGTGTCATTGTTGTCCACAAGGCTGCTTTCTGACACATACCCACTAGTTGCCATGGGGCAGTGTTGTCAGCAATCCCGGTTGTTCAAGCCAAGTTTGGTCAAAGTGCATTCCTTGCGAACCATGCCTGATTCAGGTAGGTATGCGATAGTTGCACCGGGCTCCTCATGTGCTGAACGAAGGCCTCCCATCAAACCTTTGCCAGGATGTTCCATAGGACGTGTACCCATAGCACCTTGGGCAAAAGCGACCTACTTTCTTTGCGAGTCCTTCATATGTGGCTTATGATACTTTCCCTCCAAACAACCTACAGAGCCCTTGGTTTGGACCCTTTTCCTCTAGGGATCCTTTCTCATGTTCTCTGGGTGTGTGTGTGTGCGTATGTGTTTTGAGGGTATCCTTTAAAGGGCAAAGGGAAACCAGACGGAAGCATGGCTCCGATCCCAGGAGCTCATGACCGCCTTGCGCATCGCCGGGGTCTTCTGCCAAGCGCTCAGCGAAGGCCTGGGGCGCCGTCTTGGTTCCTTTTTTTAAATGAAGAGATTGGTCCGACATTTGCAGTGAAGAGTGCTTGGGACAATTGCAGTGAACTTATTTTTGGTGGGCCGACGTTTCAAGGAAACCTGAAACATGGGGAATCCGATGAAAAAAGGGTCGCAGTATGGCGTGTGGCAGTCGCGGTGTTGCATGGTGAGCACTTGTTCAGTGATGTTATATTAGTTTTGCATCTAGCAGTTGGGGGAAGGTATACCTGGACCCTCCGGCGGAAGAACTTTCTGCCCAAAGGCCCCAGCAGCAGAAATTTCCGCCGAAAATCCAAAAGAACGCCGCCCGCGAGAGAAAACAAAAAAACAAAAAAGAACACCGAAACGCAACAAACACTCCGACATGCTGAAACCTACTTCCGCGAAATTCCGCCGAATTCCGCCTATGTCCCGCCAAAATCCGCCGATGTCCTGCTGCCTTTTTTTTACACAGAACTTGATGTTGAAAAAACTCTGCCAGGAAAACTAGAAACACCGCCAACAGCAAAAAGGTGCCTTTTTCCAAAAAGGCAGACACTTCTGCCGATTTGGGTGGTCCAGGTATACATACCATTGACATCAAGCCACCAGACTACAGCTTCTTGTTGCCTGCAAATAGATAATAGCTCGTTGTGCGTCGAGCAATAGTCTGCAAGCATCTTTGCCACCTTTCTCTATGTATCCATCGGTTCGCCCTGTGAATCCAGTTAAGACCTCAAGGCAGCCTTGGTTTTGCAAGCTTATTGACGCCTCTCCTAATTATCGCACAGTCACGGAACAAGGCATTCACGTCAGAAAATTATAGTTCTTCTGGCCGGACTGTTTTCGGCTGATTTGTTTCTACTTGAGACTTGAGTCCTTGGCTCCGGGGTAATGAGAAAACACGAGCTTGGGGCCTGTCGATTCTCTGGCTTTGGGGTTGGGATCACCTTGGCTTCCAGTGGATTTGGCGATGCAGTTATTTCTGCGTTTTGCCGCGAGTCAGATACGTTAAACCATAAGTGTGTAAGAGTCCAGGAATCTATCTTCATGTACATGGGGTCGTCTCAAAATTGGCAAATGGGTTCCCTGTTTTCTCACCCCAAACCTGCTTTTTTAGCCTTTCCTTTGAACCGCAGGTTCCCGACCCAAACTCCATCCCCGTCGGCTCATCCCGGAAGTCAACGAGCCGCGAAGCCTTCGGCAACGCAGGCGGTGGCCTGAGAGACGCGGAGCTGCAACGTCTCCACGGAGACTTCCTGGCCACCACCCGCGCGGTGATCCGCATGATGCAGGCGCGGAGCTTCGGGGGGAGGGCCACTTGCGATACCAAGGTGGAAAAGGCGGTCCCCTTTCAAGTGATAAAGTAGTCATGGCCCTTTTTGCTATTGAAATGCGATTGTCCACAAGCCTTCTCCGCGGAGTTGGAGGGGGAGGGGCTGTCCTCTGCCAGACCTCCCAATGGTGTTTCCCTTGCAAAGGCTGTCGAATCCCGCCTCGTTTTATAGGTCGATAGGGGTTGCCCTCAGGAGTTTATGAATCCGAATTTGATCCAATGTTGCAATCCTTGATTAGAGGCCCAGCCATTGTGCGGTGCTGTATTTGTTTGTGAAAGGGCTTAACCCCTTGAACATCAACTAGCAAAATAAGATGTTTTGGTTCAGACTTCCTTTGTTGGTATCACCGCCCCCCCCCCAAAAAAAAAAGAAAAGAGAGAGAGTGTGTTTCCTGTCTTTCAACAGAAATCCACGGGAGGTCAAGGATCTTTGCATGTTGGGTTGGGCAGGGCTCCCCGATCCCCCCGAAGTATTGTAGGAAGAAGGGATCTACCCGCAATCTACCCGCAAGAACAATAAAGGGTCCCTGCCGCATATGTTTTCCTTTGTGGGTGCACGGGAAGTAATGTATGGAGGGGTGCTCTAACTATTTGGCAGGGGTGGGGCTGCTGCGTGCTTCGCCCAGTAAAGATGAGTGTCTACCCCTCGTGACGGAGAGGATATGGTGCAAGAAGCAGAAAGCCGTCCGGGGTCATTTACCCAAGATAGTTGTATTTTCATTTTGGAAAGATCCAATACTTTTTTTGAAGGATCGGACATTTCGGCGAAACATGCCATTGAACAAGGCATCCAAGAAGGTACGGTGGATGGCCAAACTCCTGCACCATGAATACCGGGACCAGGCACCGCCGCATTGCCCCTGGGCCCGGGGAGGGGCAGCGGAAGGGATGTTGGACAGGCCATGGACCGTGAGGGCATCGGCGACTTGGCACCGGGCGGCGGCAGGGGGAGGGGCGAGGGGGGGAGGGGGTGAAGTTGGATGCAGTTAGGGGGCAGGAGGGCTTTACAACTATTTAATTCGGAAGATACAGTATACACATTATATAAATACATGTAGATAGATGTGCACATACGTATGTTTTGTGCACTGTCCTTTCCTCTGTTTGTTGGGTGAAAGCTAATATGCTTGTGTGTTGCTGCCAGGCAGTGATGGATTGCAAATCCGAATCCGTCACAAGCTCTTCGACCAACACACAAGTGTGCGAGACATACTGTCCACACCTCACATGCAAAGTTTTCAGACACCGAACCAAAAACAGATGCGTCTGATCTCCAGCAGATCCAATTGCAACCACTTTGCTTGACCACAGGCTACATGTCAAGCAGCATCTCACGGCCACAAATGGTTCAGCAAAGGGTTCCAGGTGGCCTTCGCGGCCAAGTTGGTTTCGCTTTTTTAAAACTTAGGTATGACCCATTTGGCTCAGCTTCTGCTGCGGCTGGACTACAACAACTACTTCTCCGGGGGCTGATCGCAGAGCTCGGAGCTTGGTCGTTGCTGAGTTCGGTCACGGTGGAGCCCCAGGCGGGGCGAAGGAGAACAATGAGCTGTAGCTGCCGACTTCGGGAGGGGATCGCACGTGGCACATGCTTGGATTTGTCGAGATTCAGTGCTGACATTGGTGGCAGCAGGTTTCAATATCAGCCTCTCACACAAAGATGTGACTATGACAGGCGTTTCCCAAACTGGAAAGCTAGTGGATTCCCTGCTGAATGCGGGTCCCCATCTCAGAAAGTCCTCACAGAGGCTACTGTACCATAGAAAATTTAACGTTCAACGTGCGGACATAACCTTGGAGAAGCGTGCACGATTCCTCACAGAACGGCTCACTATATGTTCACACATGCGCAAGAAAGCATATACTGCATATACTACAACTACAATCCCGAAATGACAGTATAATGCTGGATACTGCTTTGCTTGGTTGCGGCAGAATTTGAAAATTGACGAGCACTCCAAAGCACACTCCAAGCCATGTTCCTGTGCAGAAAACTTGGCAGCTCCCACTTTGCAGCATGGCTCAAACTTGGTGCAAACCCTCGGGCAGTGGCCCGATCGGCCGTTCTAAAGGGCTCTTTCTCAAATAGCACACGCCTGAAATGGCTTGTTTCCATTTGTTTCCGCCTTCAAACCATCCAAAAGGGGGTCCACCCTGTTCAGAACCCCCTGTGGTTCCGCCCCTGCTCCGAAACCTTCAGCTACCGACTGACCCGGGGCTGGCCTCCAACAATTGTGGCGCCAGGCAGAGCTCGCGCGAAGGTGGACAAGCCCCCAGGTAGTGAGACACGAGGACGCGCAGAAGCTAGCCCGCAGAAAGCGAAGTGCAAAGAGGGGTCTGGCAAAAAGGGGCGGCCCGTAGCAGCTTTGTTTTGCGACACGTACACTTGACTGCTGGTGCTGGCTTCGGCGCGATCACAATGCGATCCTGTTGCGCCGCGTTCATGTGTGTTTGGTGGTTTGGTGTTAGCTTGTTGTCTTCAACCGGCTTCAAGTCCTAGCTTCGTTTGAGGTACAGGGATATTATGGGGTACCCCTCAAACAATTATTCCGGGGGACCACGTCACCCCTTGGAATAATTTGATTGGAATAATTTGACTGGAATATTTTTTTGGGGGGGTATGGTCTTGGGGTCCCCCTTGATGGTCCTTTGAAAAAAGAAGTCACATCTCGATGACCCCCGGATTAATTGATCATAGGTTTTGAAGTTGAAGGTGTGTTAGGGGTGGCTGTGCCCTGGAATATTTTTGAGGATCCAAGGAATATGTTGTGTGGTTGATTTGTCGTGCGGAGTGTGAGATTGACGCATGGCAGTGATCAATTTGGGAACAGGCAGTGAACTAGGTAGGCATGTGGGAGGTGGCACAGAAAGGGGGTGATTTGTATTCATTTGTGCCCAAGCTACAAGGGGGTTTTTCGTGTTGGCCCTGCTGGTGATGCTGGGAATGTTGCTGGTGATGCGGTTGCAAGGCGCAGGGGTGGGAGAAGGGTCAAGGACCCTGGAATAATTTCAGCTCAGCTGCAAAAGGAAGGTGTGATTTGTATTCAGCTTAGCTGCGAAAGGAAGGTGTGATTTGTATTCATTTGTGCCCAAGCCAGGAAAGTGCCAATGAGGGCTGGTTTTGGCACTTTCGTGTTTCCACAGGGAGGGTGGTTTTTTCGTGTTGGCCCTGCTGGTGATGCTGGGAATGTTGCTGGTGATGCGGAAGGACCCTGGAATAATTTCAGCTTAGCTGCGAAAGGAAGGTGTGAGTTGTATTCATTTGTGCCCAAGCCAGGAAAGTGCCAATGATGGTTTTGGCACTTTCGTGTTTCCACAGGGAGGGTTTTTTTTCGTGTTGGCCCTGCTGGTGATGCTGGGAATGTTGCTGGTGATGCGATTAGCAAGGCACAGGGGTGGGAGAGGGGTCAAGGACCCTGGAATAATTTCAGCTTCGCGTTTCCACGAGGAGTGGGGTTTTCGTGTTGGCCCTGCTGGTGATGCTGGGAATGTTGCTGGTGATGCGGCTAGCAAGGCGCAGGGTGGCACTTTCGCGTTTCCACGGGGAGGGGGGGACGCGGCTTCACCCTGCTGGCGATGCTGGGGATGTTGCTGGTGAAGCGGTCAGGCTGCCCAGGATTAATACTATAATTATTCTAGAGAAACCCCGAAAAATGCAAACAATTATTCCGGGAACCCAGCTACGGTCAGAATAATTTATGCCCATGGTGGTCAGGGTCACAAGGATTAAAAAATAGAAAAAAACAACAATTATTCCAGCGGTGGACCAACGTGGTCCCCCGTTTAGGGGTGGCCCATGGGATATTTTCACGTCCCTTGCTCATTTGGTCGGCAGACCGCTACAGGGCTCCGTTCTGCCAAAGGCGGTCCAACGACCTTTTATTGACACAGCGCGCCTTGCAGTTACTTCGAGCCTGTCTTGATTTTCAATCTGCCAGTTGGATGCATTGCGATGATGGTTTGATCACCCATTTTGCAAGCGTCATGGCACGCAAAGAGCGAGAGTGTTGTAGGTGCACATTTGTCTTTAAGCAATGTCGAATGCCAGAACTAGATCGCTGTTCTGGTTAGCATTGGCTATTGAGGGCGGTGCGTCACTGCCTGGAGGTTGGTTGGTTGGTTCGTTAGCAGAGTGGCTGACATCGTGGTATGGCCAGTTCTCCCTTGGTCTATCTAGGCTGCCGTGCTGCGCTGCGTGTCGCGCTGGGTGATTTTAGGCCTCTAATTTTGCATCGGCCTGGATTGGGGTCCATTGAAACTGGTTTGCGGCTGAAGCTCAGTTCGAGATATCGGGCTCAGAAATGGCTTGGATAGGTGGAACTACCTCAGAAATGGCTTAACAACACATGTGTACCTCTGTGTTCACACCGCGGAGCCTATCACGAGCGCCGCTCGTAAACTACGTGCCCCGAGGAACGATCAACTCAACATTGGCTTGGTTGATTCAACTCACTAAAGAGCCAGCAGTTTGGTTTTGTTTTGGTCTTCCGGCTCAGTTCTGAAACCGCTGGTGTCCGTGCATGGCTTTTGGCTGTTGCTCGGCCTCTTTCGGAGCGCCATGTGAGGCCTTGATCATGCTTCTTCCTCTTTTGCAGCATCTCCGCTTCTTCTTCGGCCACTGGGGCCAGCCCTGGGTCTTGTTGGTTGTCTACCGGGCTCGGTGGTCTTGATGCCATGGCAGAGCTCACATTTTTGCAACCCCGGATAGAGAGTGTGTTGTGCCAAATCTTATACAACACATGAACATGGTGGGAGTGCGAGATGCTGCTATCTCCCAAAAAGCTGTTCATGCGTGACGGAAATCAGCCTGGAATATACTCCAAACATCTTCAAACCCAAGTTCTATGCAGCAAACAATAGTAGCTTTATACTTGCTGGCAGGCAGTTGAAAGAGATGTCCCCTGCCACAACATCATGATTCCGGTCAGCCTCCACCACCCAATTGTCCACCGGAACTTGCAGCACGGGCAGGTCTGGCATTGGGAAACCATTAGCAATGCATTTGTTTCTGCGTTTATTTACAAGCCACCATCACTACCCCATGCCCAAAGATCAAAATGCTGTGATCGAAGTCGAGCGACAGAGATGCAAGGGCACTTGCAAACACAAACACACAGACATGAAGGCCAATCTGACTTGGCAACGTGGTTTGTTGCAGAAGCGCAGCTCAAAGACGGAAGGTAGACCCCTGAGAACACGACATTTAGAACGAACCGATATGGAATCACTTCCCGTTCGAACGTTCAGCCTGTGCAACCTTATGAGGGGCTGTGTGAGCTTGTCGGTGTCCAAGCTGCGAGCTTACCGTTTTCAGCAGATATAGATATAGCGGATGATCCACGGCACACACACATACACACATACACATACACATACACATACACATACACATACACATACACATACACACACACACACACACACGTGGTTAAGCCCGACAGCTTCATTTGAGCTCCGAGTTGAAGAGGAGATGCCACGTCACTGTTTCCGGGTTCCAGCCGCTTGGGAGGTTACCCTGGCTATGGCTGGGGTGGGAGCTATGCCTACAGTTGAAACCTTCTGAAGTGGTTTGAACGCAGAGGTCTCAAGTCGCTTGGCCAGGCATAGAATTCGGCTTGGTCCTAGACCTGTCGCTCTTCCTGATCTGCAGCTCCCTGACGCTTTTGCTGCTGATGCGCCCTGGACATCCAAGGGCTGACAGAGTTGGAAGACCCGTTACAGGTTCCTAGACTCCCCCTCTTTGGTGTTGTTCCACATCTCATGGGCTTCGTTTTGGGCAGTGTGGTCGCCGACTGGTATCTTTGGCTGACAAAGGTGGGCATGACACGAGGGGGCGCCGGTAGGTGCAGTGTTGAATTGACCATGTTGTAAATTTGCACCGAGTTGGGCTTTGGAAGGAATTGTGTACACCTGTTAGTTTTGAGGCGGCTGAGGAACACCGCCGCCATGAGTACGAAAAGCATGTGCAGAAGCCTGTTGAACTCCAGATAGAAGCCTCACACGCACTACCCCCTCAGCTTCCATGCATATATTTGTACGAGTTGGCTGGCGCACATTGCAGACACGGTTGCTGGAAACAAGTCAATTGAGGGGGCATACGCCTGTCCTTTTTTCAATAGTTTCCTTCGCTTTTGCAAGCTGTTGTTCTTTACTTTTGATGTCAGACCTCCGCAACGGTTTGCGCTTCGGTTTTATTTTTGCTGAGCTCTCACCCACTTAACGCCACGCTAAACCTACTAACCACTAAACTAACACTTGACAATGGAACCAATACTCATCTAACTTTCTCCATGAGTTTGACTCCCTTGACAGGGTTCTGGCAAGGCCTGATGCATCCTGTTGCCCATGGGCATGCGTAGAACATGCACACAAGTAACCAAGAGACATGTGTACATATATATATATATATATTGTACTTAAGCACCCAAGTGTTGGTTACACATGGATGGTAATTCCGATTTCTGAGGGTTATAAAAAATAAAGAAAACATGTTATAGATAATTTGAGGCGACCAACTATATTACATCCGAACACACATGAATGTGCATCATGCTGCAGATTCTTATGGCTCGCAACAAACCTTGACAGTTCTTGTGAAGGTCTTCCAACTACAGACTGCGGGGGCATGTGCAGAAGGAGAGCACAGCTAGCGGAAGGCCTTGACATGTCGCAAAGGACTGAAACCTGTCGTTCACATCATGGTTTAACAAGGGGCTGCCGTTTGCTGGAACCTTCTCTTGGCCTTCAAAGGAAGGTGTAAAGGATGTTAGTAGTACGGTCTAAACTTGGGAATCTCGCATCTGGAAGAATTCTCCCACGCCATTTGAATCAATGTTTGGCTTCTGTGGGCGTGTGTGGTTACCCTGCATAACGAAGACCAGGCCAGGCGTTTGCCTCTTCGGTGTAGGATAACATGTTTGGGAATATTCCCTTGCAAATCTTCATGGAACCCAAACACACATCTTGTGCACAGGAGTCTCCTCTTGGGAGGTCAAACATATGGCCCCTTTTTGGACACCGGTGCTGAGTCCCGCCTTAGGGCTTAATCAAAACCAGTCTCTAATTTTGACAACCTTCACCTTGGAACCCTTTGTCGGGTTCCATGTTGATCCGGCAAGTAGCAGTAGTACAAGCGTAGTGCGGGTGGCTGAATAATTACTAACATGATGTTTCGATGCTCATGAGTTCAATTTTGTTTGGTACCCCAACCCCTGGAAACTCCGCACGGTTTTGCAGCGTGAGAGTGACATGGCAACCCCAATTGTTTAGTGGGACCCTTGTTCATCCGTGTTCCCTTTTTGTTTGGTGGGGTTCTCACAAAAACTGACAACTCCCCAGAATAAATGCTTCCCTTGTTTCTACCTTTGGGGACAGTGGGTAGCTGGGGTGAGAACTGAGCACACACTTGTTGAACAGATTGGCCTCGAGGTTGGCCTGTTGCATCGCTTGACAGGTACTTCCTGTTCTTCCAGGCCTACCTCATGCACTTTGGCGGCAGAGGATTTTCTGAGGATGGCACCGCCTCTTGCCTGTCGTGGCATCTGAAGTCACATATCATTCCCCGTCACCCGGCCAACCCCTTCGCCCGGGTTCCAATGTTCATCACGGTCAAATCAAAATTGGACAATGCATTGCAGCAGATTAGGCACGTGCGACACCTGCGTTCTCTATTTAAATCGAGACCCATGATGGTAGCGCTTTGCTGCGCGAAATCTTGTTTGTGGCTGGCCTCTCCGAGAAATCCATGGCTGGCGCTCTCCACTTGCTGCAGCTTGGTTTGGGCTCCTGCCAGCCAATAGTCACGTTCGTGAAGTCCAAGGTCCCTCTTCCTCAATAATCCAGGCCTTGAAGCCGAATCCTTGTTTTCATACTGTGTGCAGAAGATCTATGTCGTATTGTTGAGCACAGGCTTCTTGCGGGGCCCGGAAGCGCCCTCATATCAACCATCAAGATCGGATCTTGTTCATAATCATGAGGCACCCTTCTAGCTCTCTCTCCCTCTCTCTCTCTCTCTCTCTCTCTATCTCTGCATATACCACATCACAAAGATACCATAAGGCTGCGTCCATGCCCTCCAAACAGAACACGGTTTTGGCAGAAAAGTATGTTCGAGATCGAGTATCATGTTCAGTATAATCAGTGTGTTGTTGCGACTTCAAGATTAGCAGGCCCAATACGCAAATGCATTCTGCATTTGAGCATTCAATGTCAGACATGCAGTCACTATTCATGTTAAGTTTTGAACTTGTTCGGAAAGGCCCCTTATAACGTGGAGCCATGGGATTGCAGGAGGGGTCGGGGAACAAGATGCGTTTTAAAAGGAGAAGCAGCTTGCATAGACACAAACGTGTACACATATATGGTACATACAGATATGCCAACTGCCAACACTAGACAGACATGTGCAATTGTGAGTCTGCATGTTTTACGTGTACATTTCTTGACTCCACCGCAAGTTGCACAACAATTGACATCTCTGACAAGAATTCTGAAATGTACTCCTCACATCGACTTGATCATCCTAGTTCGTCGTACTTGGCTTGGTAGCTCTTGAGTTCAGAGGCCCTAAGTTGCTCGATATCAACATGTGATTTGCAGTTGGATGATTTAAGGATGTCCTGGCCCTTGTGCCACAAGTATCCAGGTGTATGGGCTCCTGGCAATCCCAGGCAATCTCAAGGTACCTATGTGCGCATACAGCTGTTGCCCATTATCAGCTTCGTTCAACTGGCACAGCCTCATTCTTACACTTGCACCACTACATACTCCACATGCACACACACACACATCCACACTACTACAAGGCCTTGAGATGTTCATGCCAGAAGAGGCTCCCTTGTTTAAGAGGGCGGAATGGAGAGTCACCCAGGCGCCTGGACGTGCGATTCCTCACGGCTGCAGTTGCCCTGGTCATCATCGAGGGCCTTTGTGGGTGGGGTGCTCTGCAGCTTGCCGTGCCGCTGGGAGTAGTGTTGAGCGTGAACGTCCCAACTCCAAGGGATTGATTCATATGAGTCAAAAAACAATCCCGGAGCATACTGACTATGTATTCGGGGATCCCAGGGTTTTGGTTAGTCTTCAGGTAAGTAGGCCGCCGCTTGGAATTCGGCATGTCAAGTTTGAACAAGCATGCGGCCGCGCAAGTCAAACTGCAGTGTTCAGCATCAGCGCCTTTGAAATACGTTGGAGGTTGTTGTTGGTTGCTCCAAAAGACATGCACGTTTTTTTGCCGTTTTGACTCGTAAGATTTCGCGCAAGTGAAGCGGAAGCGCAAGTCCGAGGTGGTTTCATGACCGGTTACCCTGCCGGCCCTTTTGCCATAGTGTTTTTTCAGCCCTATGCTGCCAGCTGCGATGCTTCCTTTGCTTCTGCCTGTTTTCCTTTCCTTCCTTTCTCCTTCCTTCCCTGCTTCCCTCCCTGCCTGTTTTCCCGCCGTCCTGCTTTCTTGCTTGCTGGCTTGCCCATGCTGCATGCTTATGAGCTCTCAGGCTGAGGCCCCAACTAGAGCACACAACTTCTAAGAAGACCCCCGCTTGGAATGCAACACATTTGAGATAAGAGCGTGAACACCGGGGTTTTTCGCCTCATTCTCCGGCTGGTTGACATAACTTCCACCTATATGATTTTCACCAGAGGGTCCCCAATTTAAATTCACACCCACATTATGCAAACGAACATTTAACAACTAGTTTGCCCCTTGTGCTGCCCCTGAGGGCGTGCCGCAACCAACACTAACAAGCCCCTTCAGACTTGGGATGCCAACAGGTAATACCAAAATACGCAAGGTTGTATGTTTGTTCTTCATGTTCCAACAAAATAGAAACATAAACCGCTCCGGCTCCATATCGAGCCGCTGGGGTGGAACTAATCCTTGGGTCACCCCATCCCCTTTTGTGTTCAAGTCATGCTGCATGGGGCCCTCCCCCAAGGTTGGGGATGTACCCCTCGCCAGGGTTATCAACGCACTGCAGACGATAAAGCTCGCCGCGCTGAGCGCCTCCCAGACAGTGATGCTGCTGGCGCGCTGGGAGGGACGCCAGAAAGCCGGGGTTGATTTATGATACGTTTTTTGATGAAATGTGAATTGCCTTATTGTTGTTTTGTATACTTGACACATTTCCCCTTTATTGCGGCGTCTAATTACTAGCTGGTGAGCAATGGGGGAGTCATCATGTTTTCAGGTCTTCTGACTGCCCAACAAGCATGGAAGTGCGCAGACCCCCTTTGAAAGACTAAGTGGTGGCAAGGAAGGTACCACCACTCCGTTTGCTGGTGACCAAACGTGAAGCAGGCAATAGAATGCATGTGTATTTTGTAGCAGGGCGTCACTCCCATCAATGATACATTCGATGCGATGAAGTCGGACTTCTAAGAGTTGTTGCAATGCATGTCGATCTGTTTGAATTACGTGTGATTCTGAAACATTATTTGTTTGCTGTTGGCCATTAGTTTGGTGCATGGGCATGAATCGACCTATAGCAATCTCACTGCCTGACAGGAATAGGGAATGGAAACTCGAAGCAGAGGCAGCTACGCACATGTCAAGGGGAAAGCTTGCTTCCTCCGAACTTGCGATTGGGCAATGGATAAAGCAAGCAAAGCAAGGCGAGCGGCAAGCCACCCTGCCGGCACCTAGGGCCAGTTGTTTGTTTAAATCGTTGCCCAGGGTCCAGGCACCTTATGCGGATGTACTTAAGACACCCAAAATGGGTCATCGTACAATATTATATATCTTGACCGGAGATTTGCGCCCTTGCGGTTGCGAGAACTGTGCGTTGTTCTTGCCATCGCAAAGAGAACCCCTCCTACCAATCCATCAATGCATCAGGGACATAGCTGAGAAAGCAAGAAGCCGTCTTCAGGTACTGCAGGCTGCATGGAAGAGTTAGATCCAACTCTCCAATCTTACTCATTGACAACTGCCCGACACTTGCAGGGTTTTGTTAGGCCCTCAATCTACCTTCTTGGGAGCTCGAAACATGTTGGTTTGAAGCGCACCCACCTGAAAATTGCCAGTTCGTAAGGGGGACATTTAGTAAATCCCTGACTACGACTCGTGTAACTCACATTGGTCTTCTGAAGCGCCTTCACCTGCAGTCCCTTGGGGTGATGAGCCGTTTCCCGAGCTGCACCTTTTCCATTCGCCAGCATCCATCTCAGTGGGCAGTACTACGCGCCAACCATGAAGGCTCCTTTCTTGGGGTTTCCGAATCTCTTGTTCCAGCTTGTGACTTATAGTAGTTTGCCCAAATTATCTGCCAAAAGCCACCTGGCGGTTTCCGACAGGAACGATGGCCGATCAGGAGCTAACCCTTAGAACAATGGCGCCTTCCATTTCTGTGAGCGCAGGCCCGGAATTCATCGCTGGATTTTCACCAGACCTTCAGTGGTGCCCTTTGACCCGCCAGACAAAAGGCCATCCTCCTTCCTGGCTTCCGGGGGTTTGGGATAACAACTGGGGTCCTTCTGTTTGTTTCAGCTGCGAAGAACAACACCACGTCAACTTCTGCACGACTAGATGAGCTTGCTTAAGTCGCTTAAGTGATGTCTAAGCAATTTGGGAGGCCTGATCTCTGTGCAAAGCGCACCCATGGATCCATGGATCCGACCAGGTTGCGAGTGCCTCCGTGTTGATTGTGGCAGCGGCCAGAAAGCTCAGAGACAGGAGAAGGGCCAGACAATCCAGGTACTAACTAGCGCCTATGGGGCTCATTCAACTCAGTGGTCCCCAAAAATGGGTGGTTCCCTTTTGATTGCCCTTTGAATACGAACCAAAAGGGTGTCAAACAATTTAAAAAGCCCCCCCCCCCCCCCCCCCCCATAGTTGTGTCTCTTGTCTAAGCGACAAGACACTGATTATTACTGATAGTTGATTTGTCTAAAGGACACCAAAGGGGGACGGACCATTCTAGTCAGTTTTCCAAGAAGAAGCTCAACAGCACCCAGCGGTTGTATCCGTTAATTACTTGCTCATTCCACGTGAGCCATGTTTTGGCGGGACCTGGTATGATAGGATTTTTGCTGATGTTGGCAAGGACAAAAGAAGTACCCCACAGTTGTAACACCAAGCTACGCCTTACTTGTGCCACGCACCTTTCACCACGGATTGCCAGGAAGCCCTTTCAGATTGGCGTTAGATCTTCGCCACAAGAGAAACACAACCATAAGTTTGTCCTGCTCGTGTACGCATGGTCTGGGAGCAAATCCATGGCAATGGGCCAAGGGTCGCCCAGGATAGAGTGTCTACTTCATTGGGCAGAAGATTTGCTTCCGTGTGGTTCAAAACACATTTCCTCCGAAGGAAACATCAGAAAGCGAGTGGTGACTTGGAAGCCCACAGAGGCGTCGGGCTGATGGGTGGGAGGCGTCTGGTGACAGAATATGGGTGGTTTGCGTGCTTGTGCGGGTGTGCGTGTGTGTGTGTGTGTATGCGGTTTTGAGGGTACCCGTTGTTGGCGAACTGTTTAAAGCGAATCCAAAAAGATAACTAACCATTTTTGAGGAGGGTATTTTGAGAAGCATCTGTGTGTGGTGTAATTATCTTCAACTGAGTAACTGCGAGAACATGTGTTGGGCAGGCACTGTTTGGAGCAAGCCCAAGGCAAGACGAAGATAAAGAGCAAGCAGCTGGACCAGCTTATTTTGCTTTGCTTACCAGTCCCATGTTATTAATGTTGTTTTGTTTCTTTTGTTTTGTTATTATTACTATGCAAATTACAGATATATATATATGGGTTTGTCTTTTTTTGGTGTGTTGAGTTGCTTCAAAAGGCAGAAGGTGGGACCTCCCCGAATCATACCCCCGAATCATACCCCCGAATCATACCCCCGAATCATACCCCCGAATCATGCCCCCGAATCATGCCCCCGAATCATACCCCTTAAAACGTATGCTGCGAGATGCTACTGTTCTTCTACCGTTTTGTATTGTTCACTGTCTGTACAACAACCACCACCAGCGCTACCCAATACTACCACTACCACTGCCACTGCCGCTACTACTACTACTACTACTCCTACTACTCCAATTACTACTACTACTGCTACTACCACTACCACTACTACTACTACTACTACTGCTACTACCGCGACTACGAGTATTACTATCACTACTACCGCTGCTACTACTACTATACTGCTTCTGCTTCTGCTTCTGCTACCCTTACTACTAACTACTACGACTACAACCTTTACTACTACTTCTACTACTACGACTACTACCTTTATTACTACTACTACTACGACTACAACCTTGACTACTACTACTACTACTACTACTACTACTACTACTACTACTAGTACTACTTCTACTACTACTATTCCTGCTGCTGCTGCTGCTGCTACTACTCACTACTACCACATACATCATTCTGAGTCTGTAATCAGTGCCATTTTGCACCTAGCCGAATCATACCCGCGAATCATACCCGAATCATACCCGGACAATGAGCTTCCCCTGCCAAGGCTAGTGCTAAGTCTGTTTCACAGCGTCCGCACCACTACAGCCGCTGCTGCTTATGCTACAGCTGCTACCACTACTTCTGCAACTGCTACTACCACTACTACTACCACTACTACTGCTACTACTACTACTACTACTACCACTACTACTGCTACTACTACTACTACTACTACTACCACAGCTACTACGAGTTTGTAATCAGTGCCGTTTTGCACCTAGCCGAATCATACCCGCGAATCATACCCGAATCATACCCGAATCATACCCGCGCAATGAACTTGCCTTGCCAAGGCCAGCGCCAAGTCTTTTCAAAGCTTCCTCGCCACTACGTCGCTGCTTCTACTGTTACTACTACTACCACTACTACTACTACTACCACTACTACTACTACTGCTACTACTACTACCACGACTACTAGTACTACTACTACTACTACTAGGACTACTGCTACTACTATTTACTACTGCTCCTACTACTGCCACTACTACTACAACAACAACAACAACAACAACAACAACAACAACTACTACTACTACTACTACTACTACTACTACTACTACTACTACTACTACTACTACTAACTACTACAACAACAACAACTACTACTACTACTACTACTACTAGTATTGTTACTTCTACTACTACTATTGTTACTACTACAATATTACTACTAGTACTACTACTTCGGCGACTACTGCTACTACTACTACTACTGCTGCTGCTGCTGCTTCCGCGAATCATACCCCCGAATCATACCCCCGAATCATACCCGCGAATCATACCCGCGAATCATACCTGCGAATCATACCCCGTACTCAAACCTTCCTGCCCGGCCACCCTAAAAAATACAAACCCATATATATATATATATATTGTTTTTTTCAAGTCTCATCACAAGCCTGCGGCTCAGTACTTTGCGGTGGAGGAGTTTATGCCCAGCGAGGCCCTGGGACCGCAGAGAGCGTGCGTTTGCGGTACGGGGCATAGCTTCCACCACCACCACCAGCAGGAACCTCCACCACCACGAACTGACATTAATTTGCAATCATTCGCTGCCAGCCAAATGGTGGAGGAAAACCAACCTTGCCCAGTGCTGTGTTGTGGATTCCTTCCACTGAGACGTTTATTCTGTCTGACTGAGGCGTCATAGTGGTACGGATGAGCTCTGTCAAAGCACTGATGGTTTCAGTTTGTCTTTGTTTGCGCTCACTTGTTCAATAGATAGACTTACTCCAGTAAATGTACAACAGCTTGACCACTGGCTGCAGGAAGAACTCGAGACCTTGTTTTCCTGGACAGTGTGTCGCACTTCCGACGCAAAATGTGAAAGTTCTTGCTGGCACCCTTCATGTGTAACAAGGTCAATGCACACTCAAGGACATCAATAATTCAACAGCCACGATCCTTTGGTATTCAGCTTCAAACAATGTTCAATGGTGGTTGCCAGCAGCCTTCCAGTTTGTTTGGCCCATTATTCATAGCAAGCCTACTCAACTTGGCCCCAACGGTTTGGCCATGGAGCCAAAGTCTGAAAGCCCCTTGATTTGGAAGATCAGATGCAAGCAGCAATTATGTCTGCAAGTGCCAT